GCTAAGTATGCCAACAAGGTTATCCATCGTGTCGGACTTACCGACACTAAGCTTTCTGATACCCTAAGTTTAATGCAAAGCTCAACACTATTTATGGTATTCCTCTAGACGGTCCTACGTTATGTCGCGAGCTTGTGAGTTGCTTAGTTTATCTGACAGTTACTCGCCCTGATTTTGCCTATGTTGTTCATGTGGTTAGTCAGTTTGTTTTTGCTCCTCGCTCTACACATTGGGCTGTTTTGCTTCGGATTCTTTGATATCTTCGTAGTACTATCTTCCAGGGCTTACTATTCTCTTTTACTTCTTCCTTAGACTTGGTGACTTATGCTGATGCTGATTGGGCTGGTGATGTTAATAATCGTAAATCTACTTCTGGTTTATGTATCTTTCTTGGCGATTCCCTGATTTCTTAGAAAAGCAAGAAACAAGTTGTTGTTGCCCGTTCTACTGCCGAAGCTGAGTATCGTGCTATGACTCATGCTACTGCTAAAATTGTCTAGCTTCGTGGTCTCTTGTCTGACTTGGGCATTCCTCAGTCTTCCCTGACCTCTCTCTATTGTGACAACCGAAGTACTATTCAAATTGCTCATAATGCTGTCTTTCATGAATAGACAAAACATATTGAGATTGATTGTCACTTCATTCGTCAACATCTACAGTCTGGCTTTATCTCGCTTCTTTTTATCTATTCGGCTCTGCAACTTGTTGACTTCTTTACCAAGACTCACACCACTGCTCAATTTCGATTTTTTCTTGACAAACTCTCAGTGTTTTCTGCTAAAACACCTTGAGTTTGAGCGAGAGTGTGAGAATGCGTTCTCCTTTTTCCTTATAGGATTAGGAATTAGTATCCTATATCTATTAGACTTCTATATGTCAGTGATGTATTCATGTAAGATTAGGAATTAGTAGTACTTTATATAAATGATGTATTCTTTGTTCAATCAACTTGGCCAACTTTGAATACACCCCTTTCATTCCTCAAGGTACCGTGTTGAAGAGGTACCAAAACTGGTGGGTGACTAACATGGAGATTTATCTGGCCATTCCACCTTCAAGCCTACTAACAGTGTTAGATGTGACCAAGCCCAAAGAAACCGGGGGGGGCACTTCTTCCACTGTTTCAGAGTTGGCACACGCTGCTCCTGCTGCTTCAATTCCTCCCAGAGTCACTCGGGCTGCCTCGAAGAAAGGTATACCCTTGTCTCTTCTCCTTTTGTTTTTCATAATGCATTTTGCCTTATCTTTAATTCTTTTTTTTTTTTTTTTTTTTTTTGAGGAAGTGCACAAGTTGAACTATGTTGAAAATTTATAAAATTTCAAACCGCCAAATCGATTCGCATTCATCCGCCAAACCGTCAATCCGCTCAATCTACATTCGTCGGATTGGCAGACGGATGTGGATTGATTTTCTCCAATCCGCCAATCTAGCAGACAGATGGCGGATTTGAGGTTTTGTGGCCGCAACCGACCTACGCCCACCCCTAGTATCTTTCTTGGTGATTCCTTAATTTCTTGGAAAAACAAGAAATAAACTGTTGTTGCCCGTTCTACCGCCGAAGCTGAGTATTGTGCTATGGCTCATGCTACTGCTGAAATTGTCTAACTTCGTAGTCTCTTGTTTGACTTAGGTGTTCCTCAGCCTTCCCCGACCTCTCTCTATTATGACAACAGAAGTGCTATTCAAATTGCTCATAATACTGTCTTTTATGAATGAACAAAACATATTGAGATTGATTGTCACTTCATCTGTCAAGATCTACAGTCTGGTTTTATCTCGCTTCCTTTTATCTCTTCAGCTCTACAACTTATTGACTTCTTTACCAAGACTCACACCACTACTCAGTTTTAGTTTTTTCTTGACAAACTCTCAGTGTTTTCTGCTAAAACACCTTGAGTTTGAGCGGGAGTGTAAGAATGTGTTCTCTTTTTTCCTTATAGGATTAGGAATTAGTGTCCTATATCTATTAGACTTCTATATGTCAGTGATGTATTCATGTAGGATTAGGAATTAGTGGTGCTCTATATAAATGATGTATTCTTTGTTCAATCAATTCAATCTAATATACAGTTTCATTCAGAAAACTTACAAAAGTATCATATCAACATATTGAATTGGTGATACAAGACCATTAAATAAGGGTATGGAGATATTGCACTGCATAAACTACTGCGTATTGAGCACAGTAGCAACTGTTGCAACACCAAATAGTGCTGACTGCAGCCTTTCATCTATGTTGCTTGCTTTCTTTCTTTTAAAGTTATTTTATACAAGGGATGCAATCTATTTGATTGATTTATTTATTTATATATAATATCATTCGAGTATATATTTTTGTTTTCCTTTTGAAATAATGTGATCTTCTTGTTTATTATTTTGAGTCAATCTACTAAAGAAAAACAAAAGGCGGCAAAATCACAAACACTCTTAACTTTTTGATGAAAAATACGTTAACACTCTTTCAATATATTCTAGACATGGCTTTGTTTGGAGAGTTGGCATTTTAGCTCAAAACTTAAAAAATCACTAAAAAGCCTATAAATATCTCAAAGTTAAAGATTCATCTTTATTCATTCTATATTTCGCACATCTTTTCATAAAAAATTTAAAAGTTATCCCAAATATATTAATTTTTTTATCTCATATTTTAGTTAAAAAATTAAAAAATTACTGAAAAAGTCTGTTTCCAAACAACATTTACGAAAAATACAAAGAGACCCCTTAATATCCAAACAAATTAGATTTTAATTGTAAAAAATTCCCAAACACATGTTTGCCATAATTATGTCATCATAAGTGCTAGAACTGTAGTTACATTAAATGTGCCCTTTTTGTCTTAAAGAAGCTCAAGCAACTTTGATACACATTGTCGTAAAGTTTTGTACAAAGACATTTATGAAGCAAGAGATGTATACGATGATCACAAACCAAATTGTTATAAAATATATATTATGTTATGTAGATGGGGGATAGTTGGGGAAGGCTTGAAAATAGAGTGAAAACCTATGCTTCTCCGCCAGGGGGGTGCATTTTAGAAGAAGACGTGTCACTCTGTTAGTGGTTTCTATGGGCTTCATAAATGTGAGATTTTGAGATTAAAAAGAATTAATACAAAAATTCAAAAACAAAGGAGAGATTAAAAGAATACGTAAAGACTAGAGAGGATTGTGAGTAGGCAACCAACCTACCACAGTTTAACTTCCCTTCTAACTCCCAACAATCCTTGTATTTTGACCAATATACCCCTTAATTTTTTCCGTAACTTGGGAATTCCCTTGTCGTGTTTGGATGACATGTCAACTAATTTTGTCAAATGACCCAAATGCCCTAATCATCATATTTTAATTATTTTTTATTTTTATTTTTACATTGCAGAGCCTATTGTGCATATATAGACTTTAATTAAGAATATGCTATTGAGTTATTAACACACCACTTTAAATCTCTCCAACTATTTTTTTGCTTTTAGCCTCTGACAACGTTAAGCAAAGTGCGAAAGGATGAAAGTGGATAAATAGCATTACTTAAACTTGTCAAGTTGAGTTGAGTAATGAATTATTTAAATTTAATTTATTTCTCTTCGATCCGATCTAAAGCGAGTCGTAATAGGCGTTTGGCATATCACTAAAAGAAAAAAAAAAATTCAATTTTTGCTATAAAAAAAAAAAAAAATTAACAAGCCACCAAGTTGTTTGTCATCATGTTCGCATCGTAAATAAATATATAATTTTATTATTAGTTATTATTTATATAATTGCAGGACATATAATATTCTCCTACTCATTTGGTGGTTATGAGAAGTTATGAATCATTGAACACATGTGAAAAGATAATGGAGGACAAAATGGAGAATATGGAGCATGAATTAGATGTTAAAGAAAGTTACGGAAACATAAAGATGAAGTGGAAGATCATGGAGCGTGAAGTGTGAGAGATGGAAAGGTATTATACTTATTAGATAGTTTTTTTCCTACAAATGTTTGACTATAAATAGCCATTCATGACTACATGGTAAAGGGCATAAAACTCAAATCAAAGATAATGGATTTCTATTCTTCTTGTCATTTATATTTCATACACTTTTTTTTATGCACTTTTTTTTCAAAGCATAGAAGCAGAAGTAATTATTTGTTACTTTGATTATTCACTTAATCACCCCAACTGTTCACTCAATCATCTTTTTCCATCTCCCTCCTTCTTTTATTTTATTTTTTTTTACACTTGGCAATTTTGAAGTCCTCTTCATTAAGGCAAAAGAACCGTCAACACAATTACTTGATAATAGGCTTGAATTTAGTCTGTAAAGATTTCTCAATCCTTGTTGGCATGCTCGCATTTATGATATTTTACTTCGTAGAAAAAATAAGCTAACACATTAGTTAGAAAAAGTCAAATGTCACATTAATTTTTTTTTTTACTCATTGTTTTTTCTTTTCTTTTCTTTTCTTTTTTTTTTCTTTTTTTTTGTGGCAACTTTCTAAACACAGTATCTTTTTTTTTTTAACTAAAAAAATAAAATAAAAAGTCACTAAAAAGTCAATCTCAAATCCACTTAATCGAGCTGATCATGGAGTGTTTGATTTTTTATAGTGCATATAACCAGGTCAACTTGAGAAGTAGATCATTCAAGTTTGGATTGAAAACTTAACGAATTTTAAAATATATTTAAATATGACTAATTTATGTAAACGAGTTAATCTCAAATGAGTTTTTAACGAGTCGAATACAAAACAAACTCAAATAGTTTAATTTGCTTTAATTTCCTACTCAAATCCCTAACTAATAAAAAACATTAAAGAAAACTTGAAAAAAAAGAAAGTATTATTATTATTATTAATTTCTTTTGAGTTTAATATTGCTTTGAATTTGGATGTGGGGCAAAATGTAAGTGAAGGCTGAGGGGCATACTAGTAATCTTGAAATATTTGAAAGGGGCACACGAACAATGCACTTTCTTTATAAATAAATTAATAAACCAAAGATGTTTTATTATGGTAGCTTTTCATTGTCTCACCATTCCATCTTGCGTTAACTCAAAGTTTAAAGCAACACAAAAGATCATGACCCGTTTTCTCGGCTGCAACAACAATCTTGTGATCATCATGTCTTCCATACTCTTCTTCTTCTTCTTCTTCTTCATCGGAGCTCCGGCAGCGGTGGCCGGAGTTGAGAACCCTTTGGTTGAACTATCCGGCAGAGATGAGTTGGTGAGAATAGCTGGATATGGAGAGGAGAAGCTCTCCACCGTCCTCGTCTCTGGCACAGTTCTTTGTGAGGCTTGTTTCGATGAAAAAGCTCGAACGGATCCACGCCCCGTGTCAGGTTTGTAAACAGAATTTTAATACATAAAACTCGTATAGAATGAAATTCATGTATAAAACAAATGTTTTCTTATTTCAGTAATGAATTTACAAACAAAAATAAGCTTGGGAATTATTTTTGCTTTCAAAATAAGTTTTCATTCTCTTCTTTCTCCGTCGTCCCACTATTCCTTGGAAGGTCGAGTAAGTTGGTGATCTGAAAAAGAAGTATTAATCTCGTTTGTTTTCAAAATAAATCTCGGTTATTTTGCATTCTCTTCTCCCTCGGTCACCCCACTCTTCGATCACAACTCACAAATAAATATTTATTTTATAATCATTTTTCTTATATTTATCATGGTTTGCTCAAATAGAGCATGGCCAAAGTTGGTTTAGAAGCACCATAGGAAGATACTAAGATCTATTCAAGGGAAATATAGGATGTTGGGTTTAATGCGTTAACTTGTAGCAGCAAACATTTATGGGAAAGTAAAATGTTGTTTTAATAATGTCTCCATCTTTGAAGTTTTTCTCAATACTACAAGCCAAAACAAAGTTTTTTTAAAACTTAAGGGAAAAAGCAAAGAGAACGGTGAGTCTTCTCTAAGTTCATGTCATGTTTAGAGTTGTGGGAGGCTTGTTTTGATAATTTAAACTATTTATTTTGTAGAATTTTCTGTATATATCATTTATGTAAAAAATTAAATCGATTTGATAATTACAATCTTTTTATTTTATCACATTTGTCTCTAAAAGTATGGATGACTTATTTTTAAAAACATATTAGTCATTTATTTTTGGAGGAATTACAATTCAGTGGGAGAAAAAAATAATTTACATAAACATGGAGAGTTGCAAGTCACACTTGCACCCCCACAACCTTTCACTTGCACCCCATCACAAAAACACTTGTATCTCATATTTTTTTGTAATTTTTTTTGTCTGTCCCACTGTCTTGAAATTCTCCCTTTATTCTTTTGTAGGCAATGCAATATAATGAATGTTATGATTAATGGTATGACCTAACCTTTTATAAATAATATACACGAATGATCTTATAAAATAAATAATTTAAAATCATAAAAATAAGACTCGTGGTGGGTTCATGAGTTTGAACATAACAACTAAATACAAATTTAAGAAGACTGGTTTTTTGTTGAATGAGTTTTCTTTTTTTTGGAAGGAGAGCCTAGGCTATCAACCACGCAGAGTATCTACTCGATTGTAGTTAGTTGAATCAAATCTCCAAAGGTATTTTCCTGTCTAGCAATTCCTCTCAGGTTTGACATGTCTCTTGTAGGAGAAGGTGATATTGTTCTAACAACATCTAGTTTTGGAGAAGTTATTTGGTAGTCGGAGGTATGGCCACATAATATCTAAGGTGTATTGTGATTGTGTTAGATGATTAATAAATAAAATAAGATATGATGATTTGTAATTAGTTAGAAATATAATCACGTAGTGTCTTGAACCACAAACCTAATTTTGGGGCATAGTTGATAAGTATATTATGTAGCACTACTTAAAGTGTAACTCATAGAGTTTTGATTCTTTGAGGATCATCCCTGGGTTTTTTTTTTAACATTTGAGCTCATATATTATGTGAGGTGCCGACATTATATACACAAGATTGAGACAAATTTAATCTCAAATACTATTTAGGCAATATCACTCACCATAATGAATAATATTTCTAAATTATCATGTTCGATGATTCATGGGGCCAATCAACTAACCGAATCAGTGGCTACTCTATCTAGCTATGAGTTACGATTAGGGCTGAGATTCTCTTTAGTTTGGGCAATTGAATTTGAAGTTCAGTTAGAGTTTTGAATGTGTGCCACGTTGATATTTTTCTTCTAAATTTTGTCCATTTATTTACAATCAATTTACTTCATTAAACTTTTTTAACAAATAGCGGAGATGGAGATGGTGATGGTAGTGGTGGTGGAAGATGCAAGATGCAAGTTGCAACACATGTAAATCTATTTATAGATGTAGACGGATTGAAATTTTTTTTAAATGAATTTAATTAGACAGGCCTAATAGTTTTGAGTTGACAATTACTATAAAAATATCCTTATCACATCGTTCTAGTATAATAATCTACATACACTTAAAAGAAAAAAAAAAGAATTTTCCATTTCTTTCCATGTTAATCCTGATAAAGTTTGTAATCCCTGCAGGTGCATTGGTGGCTGTCTCATGCTACACAAGTGAGAAAACAACCAAATCAAATTGGGTAGAAAGCAAAACAGATGAATTTGGAGACTTCCTCATAGATCTTCCTTCCCACCTCCATGCAATTCCAAACTTGGACAAAAGATGTCTGGTGAAAGTTCTACAACTACCAAAGAACTCACTCTGCCACCCAAATTTTACCGGGAAACAAACAGGATTGAAATTGTCATCAGTTGGGAATGGCATCCGCACTTACGCAGCTGAAAATTTACATTTGACTCCAAAATCTTCTTCACACACCAACAAAATAAACTGATTTTTTCCCCCTAAAAGCCTATTGAGAGGAGATTGAGAAATGGCCGTGGCTCAATGGATCGATGGCGCTTTCAGTCACAGCATTTGAGCTTATGGGTATGACCGGCCTTCTCTATTAGTCCTGTAAAAAACATGTAAAGACAAGGAGAAGCCATGTAAATCAATAAATCATAATGTTTTGTTTTTTTGTTTTTGGGTTTAAGTTTCTGAGTGATGAGTACCGGTGTAAGTAGTTCAACAACATTGTAATTCCGTATGCGTATCAAAAAATATATATGTGTGTGTGTGGTGTGCCAAGTGAGTCTTCATTGAATCCAAGACTGTTAAAATGGCAAACAATGGGTAACAAGAATTTAAGAATTCAATCAGGGAATTTATCCATAGTTTTCTGCTCATCTCTTGAAATGATACACCTTATTTGGTCTGGTTTGATTTTCAAAATCATATTTTTGTATTTTTTAAAAAAACTTTTTAGATGCACATGCAACTAATAAAAATTTGAAAAATTTCACTAAAGATATACCTTTCTTTTTTTTTTTCTTTTTTTTGCAAATTACACTAATAGTTCTTGTATTGTCTTTTGTGTCATTTTGGTTCCTATACTTTTAATCGACTCAATTTTGACCCTTAATTTTAGATTTTGTGTCAATTTGGTCCAATTGATAACGTTATTAGTGTTTTTAATGAAAAATTATCACTGAATTGATTGAGGTTAACTCACTGAGTTGAGTAAGTTTATAATTTGACCCTTAAAAATATCACAAACACCACTTATGTGCATATTTTTCATAAAAAAATACTAAGAATTGTAACTAATTGGACCAAATTGAAACAAAATCATAAATTTAAAGTTAAAATTGAACCAATTAAAATTATAGAGATCAAAATAACATAAAGACCAATACAAAAATTACCGTCGTAATTTGTCATGTCATTTTAAAAAAATAAAATAAAATTTCTTCACATATATTTTGCGTTTTATATATATGTAAAATAATTACATCTAAAAAACAAAAGAAAAAATAAAAGCTAACTATAATATGAAAAAACAAATCCACTAAAAAAACACACATTAAAAACAGAAAGGCCCATATAACAGTTCTGAATGACAGAAAATGTTTGGAAGCGTTAGAAAATGAGTTCTAATAGTTTTAATATGTGTGTGGTCCCCATCTGATGTGATATTTTGACCTTATATTTTTATTTATTTATTTATTTTCACATCACTAAAGCTTAATTAAAATTTTAATTTTAAAGAGATGAATCACTGCTGTTTGAATGACCATATCTTTGTGGTTGTGAATGGGCCGGTAATCTTGAGGATCCAAACAATCTGGCCGATGTGGAAAAAAAATGTTGACGTTTGCTTCACTATAATTCTTGTGTTACCATTGAGTTCAAGATACAAGTTACCATACAATTAATTTGAAAGGAATAAATTTGTATAGTAAAAAAAAAAATACTCAAAAAATATTCAGAATACACTTTGCTATTTCATGACAGATAGTGAGCTATATATTTATCTCTTTTTTATCTTCTTTACACATTTTAATAATTAGGTGGGGTGCACCATGGAATTTTTTGAATATTTCGAGTTCATAAATTACTCATTTGAAAACAAGAGTCAGCATCAGGTTGAGCTAGCCTGCAATGTGGCAATCCATGCCCGCCCATGGTATGCTGGACCAGATCAAAAGAGGTTACTATTACACTTTATTTAAATCTTAAATTTGTGTAGAGAAAAAAAATGGAAAAAATATAACAAAAGAAGATGGACTGGAAAAAAAAAATGTAAATTTATGTTTATTTTGTGGTTAGGTGAGGAAAATGATAGGAAATTGATAGATTTCTATCATGAAAAATATATATTTGTTGTTTGATTATTCATAAGTATATGTAATTTAATTTCTCTTGTAATTTAATTTCTCTTGTATATGTAATTTAATTTCTCTTGTATGTATATGGAAAATTGAATATCTAAATATAGAGTAAAAAAATTATACAAATTTAAAGAAATGACAATATATGAATGTTAATGACTTAACAAAAATATTAATAGTTGTATTATGAATAAAAAATACATAATAAAATCCAGAAATATTTTCTATACGTTATCCACTATATGTCTCAATTTGTAAAAATTTTATTTGCACTTTTTACTTATGAAAAAGTATGATGGCACATTTAATAATAAATCATTCAATAAAATATATTAAGTTATAAAATAGATCTCTTTAGAACCTTCACATAAGGAGGATATAAATTTTCACACGAGAATAAAAGTAAAATTTATATAAGGAGTAAAAAATTTCCATACAACGAAAAAATCCCTACTCATGATTATTACAAAAATAAATAAATAATGACCACTAAATATACATTGCTAATCACAACAACTACCTATTGCAACAATGAATTATTAATTGCAATTAGATTTACTTAAGTATTAATAAGAAGCCAAGTTCCACTCTTGGGGCAGTATATTAAATTTTTTAGTGGTTTTAACATTGATCTTGTTGGGGTGAGTAATGAGTTTCGCTAGTGTCTTAACGATAGATTCCCATTAATGAGTTAGATTAAACCAGGCCACCATCTGTTACCTTGAAATCTGAAGTTACAAATATCGTGATGACACTTTAAAATATTATTATTATTTTAATTTTTAGATTTAAAAAAAATGTTAATAAGAAGCTTCTTTTTAAAAAAAAATAAATGGGGCCCAAAGCCCATACCCTTTAAGTTTAAAGGAAAAAAGACTTTGTCAAATGATGACGTGACCTTCACACCCTCCATTAAACCCACTTCTCATTGGACCACTTTCTTAGCATCTCCCTTACTCATCGGAACACCACTCCACTGTTTTTTTTCTTCTTCTTGTTTTTTTGTTACCAATAAAACATCATAGCAAATTATCATTCTTTTCTTTTCTTTTCTTTTCTTGATTCTTCTTTAATCCAAGTTTTTATTATTTCTCATCACATCACACCCTTCTTTTTCATGATTCTCTTTGCTTCTCCAATTATAATTTCATTCTCAATAACTCATAATTACTAATATATATATGTACATATCTTGAGGAATCTTTAGACACAGATTCATAGTGGTTTCTTCTGGAATTGGTGGGTTGGGGTGTCAAAACTGTGAAGTACAACTCATGGGTAATGTCAATGGCAGAGAAGATGGTGCATCTGGGTTGGAGCAGGAGGGTGGTGGTGATGATGCGCAGGATAGCATGGCTGCTCACGGTGGTGCGCAAGTTAGCTACCGTCCTTATGGTGATGGTGAATTGATGCCGCCTATCCCTGGTGCTGCTCACTCTCCATTGATGTTCACTCCTCAGGCCAGTTCCTTCTTCAAATTTCATCCCTTTTCACTACATATCTTGTATTTGTCTCTGTAAAAATCTCTACTTTTGAATTTATATAAAGTGTTTCTGGAATGTGGGTTTGTTAATGTGTCAATAGGTAGTTACTGGATCTGTGGAAAAAATTATGCAACTTTGATGATGGGCTTGATATTATGAAACCCTTTTGGTTGGGGATTAATTTTTTTCTTTTTCTTTTCTGCAATTGGGTATGTTATACTCCCTCTACCTGTTTGATGAATGTCTCAAAAGGACTTTTGGGGTTTTCATAGGCCTTAAAAATTCTAATTTCTTGTTTACTGAGTTAAAAAATTGAGAAAAAAAAAGACAGTTGCTTAAGACATTTTTGATGGGCTTATTCATTAACTTTATAGCTTGTTCTTTTGATCATAAAATTGATGATTGAAGTTTATGTATGATCAATTCATTGAGACATACTACCCTTAGGAAGTGTTTGGTTCACTGTAATGATTTTAGATAGGTATGGAATGACTTTCTTGGCCTTCCAATGGAATGACCATTCTTCTAAATTGGTGAATGGTGATTCCAATTTCAATCTAAATTCCTTTCCTTTTTACCGAACCAAACATTCCATTCCAACCTCATTCCATTGGACCAAATACTGGAGTGTGCATGTGACAACCAAATGCTGGAATGTATATTTTTTTGCAACTTGCTTACGAAAAACTTCTTTGCTGAGTTTGTGCCTCTGTAATGAACTTAAGCTAACCCCCATGTAAGTGCAAGTTGAGCATCATGTTTGTATCTATCCTGTTATTGATTTTTTACTATGCTCAGTGCTTCCTTATACCTGCTGTCTGACATTCTGTCTGTTTTTTCGCACAAAGAAGTTACTATTTTCATCTATTGGTTTTTCATGGCTTTCCAGGTCCCAGTGCTTCCACTGCAAAGACCCGACGAGATGCATGCCCCAAGCTATTCATTGATGCAAAATACAACAAGGTTTGAAGACACTTGCAGTGAGCAAGGGATTCCCACAATGATTACATGGAGCTATGATGGGAAGGAAGTTGCTGTTGAGGGCTCGTGGGATGATTGGAAGACAAGGTGAAAATTGGTTTTTCTTTTATTTCTAATTTTAATTTTTGCATTGTGAACTATAATAGTAGGGGTGACCATTGGTTCAATGGTTAAGACTTGACCAATAATCTTGTGGTTAATCTGATGCACTCTTGTTTACCCTGTTGGTCAGAATGCCTTTGCAGAGATCAGGGAAGGATTTCACCATTATGAAAGTGCTTCCATCGGGTGTTTTCCAGTACAAGTTTATTGTTGATGGACAATGGAGGTATGCCCCTGACATGCCATGGGCCCAGGATGAAACCGGCAATGCTTACAACATATTGGATTTGCAGGTAATCTCCATCTCTTGTACAAAAAACGTGCAAAAAGTAGAAAGAAAAGGGAATCTTTGAATTTTTTGTATAGTTGTTTGCTTTTTGGCCTTTTTAGTGAATTTTTGACTTTTAGACTAAAATAGATGGTTGCCAAATGAGGCCTAAATTCACCAAAATGTTATAGGTGAACTTCTTGGGTCTGCACAGGAAAATCTTTATTGCGAAAGAGCTTCACCTTGGGCCATATGTTTGATAAATTGTTTCTCTAGTATCAAATTATGTCATCTCACCAGCTTTCTCATGGTCATGTAGTGAATTTCTCTTGAATGAAGTTGTTCTTGCTTTCTATGCAATTGTTGTCCTCTTCATCGTATCTTCAAACCATTCTAGACAACTTCCCTCATCTTGCTTACACTGGTGGTGCTTCTAGCTTCTTATTAGTGGATTTTGTTCCTATTTTGTTATTTCAAGGTAATTTTTGTGGAAAAAAATTGAATAATGGAAAAGGGATGGATAACATAATGAAGACTGCATGGATAAGCTATTTATGGTGTTAAAATATATGTAAATTTCAGAGCATTTTGGGATATGAGTTCAAAATTCCGAAATCTAAACTACAGTGTACAAAGATAACTGTAAAGTTAAATATGGTGTTCTAGATTAATCCTCTCTGAAAGAGCTAACTTCTCTTAAACTCCATTTCTTTCTCAACCTCTGTGCTTTTTTTTTTTTTTTTTTTTGACCTAACCTTTTATAAATTTTTTTTTTTTGTGTGTGTTCCCTCTTTTGGGTAAGTAACATTATAGCCATAAAAGAAGGATATATAATGAAGTTCAACACACATCTTTGTAAAGAGCACAAAAATAAACAGAACTGAACTACCTCCTCCTCTGTGCTTCTGTTAAGGCTGAAGAATGTAATAATTGAGTAGTGCTGGCCTGCTGGCATCTCATGACCTAAGAGGTTATGTAGGGCACAAATGGCTGAGGTAGCATATGACCGAAGTGAGGCACCATGTTCTATGATGGATTACCTCATAGGTGCATATTTTATTGTCCAAATCTGTACTGTCTCTGAGTTTCGGTTGTCACATGTTCAGGTGCATATTTCTTAATTCTCTTAGATGTTGACGACATATAGGATGACATATGTTAACAAGTTATACTATCATGTTGGCATCTAGCTTTGGTGTTAGCTACGAATTCTGCAGTCACAGTCAGGAAACCACCTTTACTTTAGTTGCCGAGGGTTCTATTCTAAAAATTGAGCTTGATTTGTTGTAGGCGGATTGTGATTTTCAACATCCCAGAAAACCTTTATACCCTAGCAAATTACGTTTTAGAAGACATGTTACGAAACATGGTACAGTATAGTTCTAAAATGGTAAATTTAGCAGTCCAAAGAGATGCTAAAAGTTGTTTCCAATATATTTCCTTAAAAAAATAATAATAAAAAAATTCAAACATAATGAACCAGAATCTGCGGTGAGCAAAGTTTTGACATGACAAATATAAAAAATAGTTCATAATGCTCATAGAAATGTGTTGTTACATGATTAATTTGGGGGGGTAAAAATCTACATTAGATTAGAAGTACCTTAAATTCTTATAGTGTAAACCACACAAGTCATCCCTATTTTAACCACAATTTAGAGGTTTAGTAATAGTTTTACCAGCCAAATCCATGTAAAGTATTGGTCTTGAGTTACTTGGGACTGTCCTAAGTAAGAAAATAGGTGGCTGACATATTATCGCAGGTACCTGATTTTGGTAACATGTGCAACTCGTCTTAAATAAGGACATTAAACCATTTTGGATTGCAAATGCCTGACTTAACTGGGCCCACTTCTGGCAGTCCAGGCTATCCACTGCAGGACTTGTAAACTTGAGGGCCCAAATTGGTCTTTGAACCTAGGAACCTTATTTGGTGTTTGACACTGATGCTTATGGCCATGCTACCTTGAATATTAGGATGAATACAAATCTTAGGTTATCCAACATTTGGCCCCAGTCAATTCAGAATTCAGATATTCACATAGCATCACATTAACTAGTGTCTACCCTTCTAAGAGGGAGAACAATATTGGCAGAAGAAAAGGTCATCAATTGGTGGCCGTACATGTAGATGGAAAGCTCTGGCATACCATCCAAAAAAGTAGGCATACATGTAGAAAACGCATGTTTGGTGAGTTTAGTTTGAAGTGTGAACAGTCCATCCAAAAAAGTGATTTTGTTCTCTACTATAAGCCTAAGTTTCTTTTGGCCAAAAACTTTCATCTTATTGACCGCTACTATTTTGCTAATTCGCAAGGCTGACCTAGCCCCACGTTCTTATATAATCTAGTGTATTTACAGGCACAAATGGATATATGTTTGATGACCTCAACAATGACCACTTGATACAAAGATTTCTAAATTGAAAATAACGATATTTGCTGGTGTATTTTGCAGGATTACGTTCCAGAAGATGTTGAAAGCATCTCTGGTTTTGAACCTCCTCAATCCCCAGACTCGAGCTACAACAACTTCCAACTTGGTTCTGAGGATTTTGCAAAGGAGCCACCGTTGGTTCCTCCACATCTACAAATGACTTTGCTCAACGTCCCGTCCTCCTACGTGGAGGTTCCACCTCCTCTTTCAAGACCTCAACATGTGGTGCTTAACCATCTTTACATGCAAAAAGGAAGGAGTAGCCCATCTGTGGTGGCACTTGGTTCAACCCATAGGTTTATTGCTAAATATGTGACAGTGGTACTCTACAAGTCCATTCAGAGGTAATAATTAAAAAAAAAAAAAGAAAAAAAAAAGGCATTAAATCTGCTTGGATGGTAGGTTTTTTTTTTGTTTTTGTTTTGCTGTTGTTATGTAATTGATATAATTATTAAAGGTAAATGCTATGCTGATGGATTGCGAGAACTCTAGAAAAGAGTCATTAAAGTAAACTTGATAATTTTATGTGACAAAATGCAAATTCTTGATCACATTTGCGCTGACCCGTTATTTACACGTGCTTTCTCTGCACTGTTCTGTTGTTCTTCCTCTATACTTGTTTGAATGGAAGAAACCCTTGTGTTCATATCGCTGACTTGTAATTCTCTTGCAATTGGGAAAGGGAAAGCTGGGAAAGAACGTATATATATATATATATATAGATATATGTATACTAATGTGGAAGAAATATGGTGAATTCTATGACTGCTCTGTTTGGTGAGCATGTATTCTGGTTGTGGAGTTTTTGTATTTCTCATTTTAGATAATGGTTCAGGCACATACACAAGCTTGGAGGAACATAATTGTTGATTATAGGCTGTCTCACTATTTCTTATAGCAGTGATTTTCTGGATCACTCCTGAAATAGGTTGACCAAAGAACCTTTTATTTGGTCCATAAATGGTTCTAAAATGAGAAACACGAGACCCTTTTTATGCATTTTAAAACATTTCTCAGTTATTTCAAATTTCTTTTTCAACTATGATCACCTATTTCTAAAATATTTTGAATTGTAGTCTTGATTCAAACTAGTATCTTGTGAAATCAGTTAGCATTCAAGTTTGGTTTGAAAGTTTAACAACAATCTCCAGAATATGTTTGAATTTGGCTCGTTTACCGTTAATCTTAACAAGTTTTAATAGAATCGAACTTGAGTAGTTTGATTTTTTATATTGTATATAAACATTTAAATCAAGTAGTGAATTCTTCAAACTTAGCTTATATATAGTCAATGACTTGAACGAATTTTTAATGAATTGAACACGAGTTGTTCTTGATTATTTTAATTTGTCTAACAATCCTAACTTCCATTTCACAATAAATGAGTAAAAAAGCAAAACTGAAACCAAGAAAACAACAATGTTATATATGGAGAAAAATTAACCAAAAAATATCTAAAAATCTATGAATCGCATTCATTGGGGATGCGACTTATGACGGAGAAACTTTAACACTCTACACTAGTACTACATACTCAAAAAAATTATCCAAAAAAGTATCTAGAAAATTACATTAATGAATCACATTTATTGTAACAAGGGTTTTTGGCATAATGATTGTATAACACCACTTTGCGGTGTGAAACTGCAGATTCAACTTCTATAAAGAGAAATTTGATATCCTTTGTGATATTTATTTATCTCATATAAAAGAGTTGTATGTAATTATTTATTTCTTTCTAAGTTTAAGCAAGCTTGGTGTTTGTTAGCTTTCTAATTATTGTTAGACTTTGGATTGAGCAATTGGCCCAATGATCCATGTAAACTGTCTCTTGAGACTCTGAGAAAATCAAAGATTCAGGGTTCAAGTGGATAAATAAACTGTTTGTTGTAATCTAACTTACTAATCCCCTAACACCCTATTGTATGACCCCCAAAAAAAAAATGTTACTTTAATTGTCCAGTTTAATGTAGTATTTCTCATACTTGTAATTGATTTTCTATGGATTAACCAAAAACAAAAAAAAGAATCACATTCATTGTGAGTGGCTCACGGGGCACAAATTTTAAAGGGCAAATTACATATACCCCTTGAGGTTTGGCTAAATTACAAATACCTCCCTGAAGTTTGAGAAATTACAAATTCTCCCCTGAATGCTATATTTGCATAACAAATTAGGGGATAATTTGTTATGAAATATAAACCTCAAGAGGCAAATTGTTATGAAAATACAAATATCAGGGGGCGGGATGTAATTTCCAAAATCTCAAGGGGTATATGTAATTTAGTCAAACCTCGAGGAAGGTATATGTAATTTGCCCAATTTTGAATTTATCCTATACACTTCATTTTAAAAGTACTTTTCAAAATACAAATTTTGAGTACATACCATTTTTGCCAAGAAAATGATGTGGATAGTAGAGGCAGATTATGATTTACTGCAAATACACAAAACCAAAATAAAAACAGAGGAAATGTTGACAAATACTCGTATATGTTGTATAAGCACAACAAAATTCTAGGACTAGGACCAAGGCTTATATGATGGGTAGAAAACCATTTCCTACATCCAACAATGAGTATGGAAACATTTACTATACACACAAAGGCAAAGCATTCAAACAATTACCATCTTTAACATTTTCTCTTAACTAAAAAAAATAACCCCTTAAACCTGCTCTATGCAGAGAGAGCCATTTCTGACTATACTTTGGATCTTCAAAAACCCATCAATTAAAAACTGGGCACCCTTCAACTCTGATACCCGGTGCAGTGGGGCACTTGGCCAGAGGACAATGATCCAGGTCCGACCCCCACCACTTAAAATTTACGCCTTCGTTCTGCAGAGCAAAGAACAGAAGAACACCCATGAAAGCCGTGCCAGCGTCCAACGCTGCCGAGAGAACATAGTTGTACTTTTGCCACCATTGCTTCCGGTATTTGAACACAAAATAGTTGAAGATTGTGCCGGTGATAAGCCAGCTAGCAATGTTGGTGGGAGTCGCTGGTGGCATTCCAGCAAACCCATATGATATAACCGGAATGTTAATCAAGGGAATCCATTTCTTTTCTGGGAAAATTTTAGTGAGAATCCAAACAGGTACAGGCAAGAAAGCTCCGATGAGGAATAACCATACCAAGTTCCTGTACAACCCTCCCGGTCCAAACAGTCGCTTTGGTCCAATTAGTCCCCATATAACTGAGGAATCGAAGGTGACTCGGAACTTTGGGCATGTCCATGGGCTTTCAGGATGGAGTGCTTCGACATCACAAAGGTTCTGAATGCTCCCCAGCATCCACCATGACACGGCAAGGTTGACTGTACCAGCAACAAGTGTTGCCACCAGCTGAAAAATATAGAGAAAAAGTAAAAATATAAAATAAAAACCCAAATATAAAAATAAAATGTCAGATTACGATGTTACCAGGGGTTTATTTAGTGTACTCATTCCATTTGTTTGGGAAAAAACGTTTTCTGTAGTTTTTAGAATTTGGTACGTTAGAATACGAAAATTAACGGAAAATGGACTTATTTTGACGGAAAACGTTTTTCACTTTTAAAACATGGAAAAGGTTTTCTGCACCAATCTCTTACCAATGCTACCATAATATCACCACCACCTCCGCCTCCACCAACCACCACCACACCGGCAACACCTCCACAACCACCATTCCACCACCTCCACCCCCCTACCACTGCCAGCATTACTACCAACCCCCACTTTGCAACCATCACCGCCACCACCAATATTGCAACCACAACCATATTTGTTGAAAAATATTTTCTAAAAAATGTTTTTTTGTAGACAACATTTTCTGTAAGAAAATATTTACCACCAAAACCAACGGAACATAAAAGCAAAAATCAAATGGACTAGTTGCAGAAGTTTATCAGCAGTGCAGACCTGAGCCATGTACATGCTCCGTGGTGGGATTTTCATGTAGTGTCCGAGTTTAAGATCGGACAGGAAAGACAGAGCATGAAGGGTGCTGATTCGCCCATACATCTTGAAAATCAAGTTTGCAATGGGTTTCCCAGGCAGGACATACCCAAATATGAACTGTGCAATGATATCATATCCTGGTTGCTGCATAGTAGCACGGCATGTTAGCTAGAAGACTTCAGTATACAATTCATAAAGTAAAGAGACACAAGAAATGCGGGAGTGCAGTTTATTACCTGATTTGTTGTTGCTTGAATGACTCCAATGGGAAGGGTAACAATAAAAGCCAGGCCAAAGGCAAAGAGCATTCCCCACCATTGCAGCTGCACATCTTTTTTCCACACAAAGGACATTAACAGGGATAGGGCGATGCTTCCAATTAATAAGACGAGAAACCACCATTGAGGTACTTGTTTGTAGTGTTTCATTAGTTTTGCATGGACGTCCAATTTGGCATTCTTAACTGCTGACTTACTTTGTTCCCAGATATCACTAGACAATCAAAAACAAATTATAATCTTGTCAATTTGAGATTGGTCAAGAACCGTTTTACTTGAAAAATTCGATATTGAAGTTGTGAAAAATACAACATTAATTAGCCATTTTAGTTGGTTCTTTGCGAGTGATTGCAAATATCCAAAGTTTTCTCTACGGGGGGGCCCAAAAAAAAAAAAAAAGACTACTTGCTCCTTAAAATTGAAAAATTCACAAAACCAAACATATTTTTGTGGGTAATCACAACCTTTAGAGTAGGTCCAACCAAATGAAGTGTTGTGCCTCTTCCATTGACAACCGTTAGGGTTGATCACTTTCTGAACAACCCATCTCTCCCTTGTGGGAATTAATTGTTAATAAACCATTTCAATGTGAAAATGTGATCACCTGTGTTTGTTTATCTCAAACCAACAAAAGAAGCATACCTGCCATGAAACAGGGCCACGTGAGTGAGTGTTGCTGAAAATCTTGCGAATCCCGATCCAATTGAAAGGGCAAATAGAGGGCTAAGATAGAGCTTCCCATAACTATTGTAAGCCGGAATGTTGAGATCGTATTGTGGAGTCAAGATCTTGGTGGTATCATATTTGTGGCCAGTAGAAGTGAACAAGTCACTAGAAAAGATGGGGAATTTCTGGGCATCAAAAGTGTTGAACTTCCAATAACACAGAGGGATAATAATGTAAATGAACATGACAAAGCCGATCCCGACATTGAGAATGGAAAACCAGGGTGTCACCAATGGGCTGCCATGATAAGCAGAAATCCCAGCCCAATCAAGGGTGAAGGCACCAATCCCAATTCCACGGTAACCGGAGCCGATCTGCTGAGCTGTGATACTACGAGGCCATGCCCAACATACCCATGAGAAGAATGTCAAAATGGGGAATAGATAGCCCGGAAATGTGTAATAGGCAAAGCTCGCAGTGAAGAAAACAAGAAAAAATTGCATTCGGGTTATGCCTTTTCTTTTCTGTTCCTTTTCATGGAGTGCTCTGTCACAACAAAGATATTACCGGGATCAAAATTCAGCTAACAAAAACAAATAACAAAGAAAGAAAAAAAGCAAAGATAACAAGATATATACTAGAATATATATCATAGGTTGTTTTTTTTGCATAGCATGTGCTCCTTTGGAATATATAGCAACATGAATATTGTCCATTAAAATCACTAACATAAGAAGAAAGCATTTCATTCCATTCTTTATTTACCTTCCTTTCATAAGTGTCATGCTGTTGTGTCTTGAAAGATACACACTGACTGTTCTCGATAAAGATTAATATCAACGCACCTTAACAAAATGTATATGTTTTCAAAAGCAACTAAACACTAAACATTTATGCAATTGTGTCGGACAATATTTGTTTTACTCTTCAAGTTTCGAAAAACAAGAAGCAACGGAAATGGTAGAGAAAGCAAAAAGTAAATTACAAAACTAAAAGAAACCAAATTCAGTTTCAAAAAACGGACGGAAAACATCAATCACTATCCATAGAAAATTCCATTTTCACATATAATTTTTATACATAATCCACAGTGAGAAACATGAAAGGTATTTACTCCGTCTGTCTCATTTTATGTGTTTAGTTGACTTTGCACAAACTTTAAAGATAGTATTTCTGAATCATAAATTAAAAAAATGATCTTTGTTTTATTTGAAGGGTGGCTTAAAAGCAAGGTCGTCAAAATAAAGATCTTGTTATTCGAATTGGAAATCTAAATTGTATTTTAATATAAATTTAAATCAGGATAATAAGGAAGAGTCTAAAGCCACAAAAAATTGGACTTCCAAAAATAAAAAAGTTGGATACAAAACGGAAAGAAGGGAATACTTCATACACCTTTTTGCTTATTTTCAAAATAAACAAGAACAGTCAAAAGAACCTAAACAAGCAATCAAATACCTTTTGTTGGCTACACAAGCAATCAAATATGTAATTCATATGTCTTTATTTCACATATTTGAAAATTTTAAAATGGATTTCAGTGTGATTATAATCCTCGTGAATAACACAGAAAACATTAGACAATATATAATAAATATGCAAAAATGAAGACAGACAGACCTAAAAAGAGAAACTTGAGCAAGGTTTGAAGGCCACCACATTTCAACAGGATCAACCAGGTACCTCCTCAATATCCCAGCCCATCCATATCCCAATACCTGCATATATAAAAAATAAATCAAATTAATAATAACTCTACTGACATGACACAGAATCAACCGCAGAAAACATAGACCAAAATTATTTTGTGCTTGGTTTCGTAGTCAGTTTTGTGACATACCCACTATATATATATATATATACATATACCAAATCATACCCAATTGAAAATATGGCAACAGGGCAATAGCTAGCAATCTACTCCCCTTGAAGGGAAAAAAAGAAAAAAACTTCATTTGAAAACTCTCCATCAAGAAAAAGAAAAATATAATACCCAAAAAAAAAAAAAAATCTAGAATACCACATCTATGACCATAATCATTGCTGACATCTCTTCAACTTTAAATCTATACCATAAACCTCATTTTTTAGATCAATCTTGAAATAAAAGTTACAAAAAAAGAAAAAGAAAAAGAAAAGAAAGGCAAACAAACTAAAAGTACCAAACTTTAAGAAAAAGGATTATCATTTTCTTCATCACACACCTTTGTCAGCTGATTATTAAATTTTAAATTAAAAAAAATCCTTTTTTTTTTAATAAAATTTGAGAAACTATAATAGTATTAATTGTTTATTCATCAGTAATAAAAAAAAGGGGGCAATCCATATCAATGAATGAAAATCAAAGAATTCAAAACACAACTCAGGTGGAAAAGAAAAAAGAAAAGGAAAACAAAAATACCTGTGTAGTCAAGACAATAATGAGGGCACACAAGAAATTCAAGCTCTGCTTATAGTAAGCCTTCATGACAGTAATGGCTCCAATCGGGTACGCATCACCCCCACCAGTAGAGACCGCACAATTAGCCATGACAGTGATGACCACATGCTCCTTCATATTGAACGGTCCAGGATTCAAGCTGAAGGTACGACCCATTAACCCGAACTTCCTCGTCGGAAGAGTCGCCGCCATGAATTTCCCAAAAGGCAAGACTGCGATTTGCATGAGAATGCCGGAGATAGACAAGGGTTGTGTCCTGTACATGAAGAAAGTGTTGAGGAATATCAGAATTACGCAAGAGCTCAGACCCAGAAACCATGCTCGAAAAGTCAGCACCGGGAGTGATGGGTCGTCTGTTTCCGGCACCACCAGCGCCACCTCCTCCACCGGACACCTCTCCTCCGCCGCAGGATCGCCGTTGGGCTTCTGGGACTCCATTTGCAGAGAGCTCTGCTCTGAGTCTGAAGAGAGAGAGAGAGAGAGAGAGAGAGAGTGTAGTAGATGTATACAACACAGAACCTGGTTGAATTGCGTGTGTGTATAATACTTATACGGGATGGAGGGTCGTGAAATTACCATATTGCCCTTTGTGATTGTTTTTTTTTTATTGCAATTTTTTCCCTTTTTTTGTAGAGACAGTGATGATGACTGCTGTGGTCACGAGTTTGACTTAAATATTGACTTAAAACTTCAATAATGCCCAAGTAAAAAAAAAATGTTTCAAAAAGTAAAATAAAAAAAAATGCAAATTACCTACCCCTCCATTAAGATCATCTCCAATGGTGAACCAAATCCAGCATCAAATTCAAATTTTAATGAAAAATTTACTTTTTCAAGCTCTAACTGTTGCACCAAAGTCATATCAAAATGAGAATTCAGCAAACAAAACATCAAACTGAGACCAAGACACAAATTTTACCAAATCACTGTTACTGACCGTTGAAAGTGGTACACCGATCAATCAACCGGTTGCCCGGCCGGTTGACCAACCGGTCAACCGGTTCCCTTTGAAATAACTAGGTTCAAACCGGTCAAAAAATGTTCAAACAGGCTCACCGTTGGAGCGCCTCGTATCAAATTGAAAAAATCGTCATTTTTTTCATCAGATTTGATGAAAAAAGAAGTTAAGCGTTGGAGATGCTCTAAGGTTTAATAAAATTATATAGATTTTCCCTAAGTTTCAAAAATTAGGCTCTACCCAATGCAATCGTTAATGGATATCATAAATTAATTAAAATATTATTTTGATAAATAAAGATAAATTGCTTGCACTCTTTTGAAGTTTAGCTAAATTATAGATTTTTTTGAAATTTAGCTAAATTATAAATTTCTGTTGAAGTTTAGCTAAATTATCATTTTTAAATAAGTTATGAAATGTAAAATTAAAATGGAAAAACACTTATTACACTACAAAAAAATTAAGGTTTTAGAAATAATTTAAAGACAAAATTATTTTTAGGGGATCAAATATTTTTGTTGCGAAAAGTGTCGTTATTATATTTTTAGCAACGAAAACTGAACATTAGTAATTAATTATTATCTTTTTTGGTATCAAATTTTTTGTCGTAAAAAATAAACTATTTTGACTCTAAAAGTTTATTTATTATTAACATTTTCAAAATTTTCTTGTTAAAAGTCTTATTTTTTACTTTTCAGAGCGATCTTTTAGCGACTATCCTCACGACGATAGAAATTAGTTCCTAAATGTCTTTTGTAACAAAATTTTCACTTTCAGAAATCAAAAAAATTGGTCTCTAAAACTCTTACATGTTGTAATGTTAGATAGCGAAAATATCATAAAATTAACGAATAATTAAATAAATTAAAAACACAAGAAATAGCTTGTCAAAAAATTCTTAAAATATGCTTGGTTTGATTTTTAGAAATTTATTTTTAAATTTTTTTAAAAAAATTAAAAATTAATTTGGTTAAGAAATAAAAATAAAAAATAATTATTATTTTTATATAATTTTATCTTTTGAGTAGTTAGAAATAATTTTTACAAATTAAATATATATTTTCATATTTATTGTTATTAAATTAGTTTTTTTTTAAAAAAAAAATTGAAATTTTTTTCTAAATAACAAATCAAATATGGTTCCAAAAAAATTTTTTTTTTTTTTTTCATCTAGCATAATTCTTTTGTAAATTTTGTTGATTTATCAAAGGGATTTCAGCAAGGGCAATATCATCCATCAATTTATATTTTGGTGAGTCAGCTAACCATTTCTAACGTTTAGTTAACGGTAAGGGTTAAATTATTATGCGAATATAAACCTCGGGAGACGTGATGTAATTTCTGAAACCTCAAAGGGAATCTGTAATTTAGCTAAACCTCAAGGGAGGTATAGGTAATTTATCCTAAAAAAAATACATTACTTAAAACATCATCGTAATATGATAAGAGATTAAGACATTGTTTGGGAATAAATTATTTTAGTAAGTTTTTAATTTTTTAGCTAAAATATGAGATAAAAAAATTAATATGTTTAGAATGACTTTTTGATTTTTTACGAAAATATATGTAAAAAGTAAAGAGAAAATAAAATATTTGATTTTTTAATATAGATGGTTGGCTTTTTAAGTTTTTTAATAACTTTTTAATTTTTAGACTGAAATATTGAATTGCTAAATAAAACCTAATTGTTTGGTTTTTAAAAGACAATTGAAAAAATTTAAATGACATAATAAGAGTTAGATCTTAATTTATTGTTTATAAAATAAAGGAATAAGATTCTTTCAAATTTGTTGTATGGACAGGAAGTGAGGCTCGTAAAACTCTTTACGAGTTATATTTTAAACATTTAACTCGTTTATTTTTGTAAGAATGTGTATGTAGATCATTCATTCAAATAAAATTAATTTTATATTTATAATTGTATAATTTTATTATATTCATATTTAAGAAAATAGACCAAAATAAATAATAAAACAGTTCAATACCATCAATTTACAAAAAAAAAAAAAAAAAAGAAGAAGAAGAAAGAAAAACAATGTTATATAAATCTAGCTATTTAAAATGGGACTAATTAAAATTAAATAATAGCAACAATCACCGTCACATTAATTTATAAAACAAATTTTAAAAATTATTTATAAAAGTTGCTCTTTAGATTATTATGGATAAATTCCCTTTTAAGTATGTTTTCATCACAATTAGTTAACAAATATATTTTTAAAACTTTTCTTCTAAAAATATGTTTTAAAACACAAACTGAACGCCGCCCAAAGTTTCTACACTATTTGTCACTGTAATAATAAACTAACTAATTGACAATATGCCCACCATTGTTGGACCTACAAATCCTCCTTAAAAAAAGTAACTTAAATGCTATAATCAATTGGAAAGAATTTAGCCTGTGTTTGGCAAGGGCTTTTTCAGGCTTTTTTGGCTATTTTAGCCACAAAAAACAAAATAGGTTATTTTAGCCATAACAAACAAAACATCACATCCAACCTATAATCATTACATTCTTCTCTCACAAAAAAAGTCCAAAAAGCCAAAAAGCCCTTCCCAAACCAAGCGTTTTAGCCCAGGCTAAAATAGCCAAAAAAGCCAAAAAGTAAAAAAGCCAACCTACTTCCCAAACGGAGGCTTAATAGTGTTTGAGCTCGTTTGGCACAAGCTTTTTTGTGATTTTTTTGATTATTTTAGTCAAAAAAATAAAATAGGCTTTTAACCTAATAAAACAAAGCGTCAAATCCAATTCATAATTATTATTTTTTTTTTTCCACAAAAGTCAAAAAGCTCACTTCAAGCTAATCTATCAAGTCTTTAAACTATATAAATCAAAATCTATTTAATTTCTAAACTATCAATTGAATCTATTAAATTTCTAAATATATAATTTAAACATATTCACACATATAAGTGTTATAAATTAGTAAAAGAGAAATTTAGCTATAAACCCCCTTTACCTTCCTTTTATTGTTAAAAGGACTAAGAAAAAAATTATACTTTCTAAACCCCCTCATAATTATAAAGTCTTTCCTAAAGGACAAAATTTATTATTTAAATATTTTATATGACTATTATACCCTTAACTAATTCTTCTCACTCTCTTCCCCACCCTCTTATACTTGATTGGTTCGAGTTAACCCACTGTTTTGCAGTCCTTATTATCAGAAAGGCGGTGGAATAAGAATCTGATTTTTCATGTTCATCGTTGTCAGGAGCTTTTCATACTCGTCCAAATACGCAGGCCACTCCATGCTAAACTTTCTTTTTGCTTTTGATAATTTCTCGAGAAACAAACAAACCAAATATACAAAGCACCAACCAGATCAAGAGCTTTACATATATATATACTTCCGAAATTGAACTTAAATAGACCTCGAAAGTATAATTCTCTCTTTTCCTTCTCTCTTCCATTCCTAGGGTTTGGATTGAATTCGTTCGGAGCTCTCGTGATTTCAACCAAAACTGTGAATATATCTCTATATATATGTGTGTGTTTGTGTGTTTTGAGATTTGAATTGTTTGTGTGTTTTGAGATTTGAATTCAAATATATATATATATATATATATCTACATATTCCGATCTCTAATCTATATATATGTGTGTTTTGAGTCTTTAAGATCGCAGATTTGAATGATTGCATAGATCGGTCTCGGCGATCATTTGATTCGAACTCAAAAGCTCAAAGATGTAAAGTAAAATCTGAAAAATCTGTGTATGAAAAATCTCAAGATGTTTGAAAGCTCAAAGTTTCAAAAATCTGAAAAATCTGTAAAATCTGAAGAACCGGGTTCATAAAAACAAATTTGTATGTCCGACAAATCAAACCCACTTAAATAGGCTACACTCACCTGATCACCAATCTTAAGAGGTATAACATCACCAACAACAATGTCATATATTGAAATATTTTCTCTCCTACCACCTCTTACAACCTGCATAATAATTCATAAAAATAACAATGTAGCATCCTAAGGTTAATAGATTAAAAATAAAGTAAATGCTTCATGTTGTAATTGCACACCCTCTTCTTTCTTTTTTTTTTAAATAACAATTTTGCTATCCCACTGCTCAAATAAATTATGAAAATGCTCTCCACGAGGAAGAAATTCTGCACATTATGAAAGTAGTGATAAGGAATGGAAACATCTATATAATTGCTTCATTCAACCAATTTAATTTACCTCTGAGAATTGCAAAATTATCTGGGATAGCCTAAGGACCTTAAACCATCAATATGATAAGATAGCAACTCAAGCAGCTCCAGCAGCAGCTACTCAAGCTCACAACAACAGCAGCAGCTCAGCCACAGCTACAGCAGCAGAGCAACAGCATCTCAGCCATAGCAGAGCAGAACAACAGACAGCAGCTTCATGTTCGAAAAAGTTGAGTTGAGAATTTTATGACATAATTTTAATTCTACACAATCAACTAAAATTAACTTTGATTTTATCTATTCCCAACCATAACAATAGCGTGATTCAAATGAAATTACATATAAAAGTATGACAGGAGGACATGAATACTAGTCTTTTTTTAATTCATTCAATGGGACATTA